TATATTTATTTTTAAATTCATTACAACAGCATAAATTTCATACATTGTTTTTTTTTACGTTAGAAAGTCATATACATTGTTATTTTTTATGTTGTTATTTTTTATGTTAGAAAGTCATATATTTGACAAGAAAAACTTGTAGATTTAATGTTAAACAATATATGTATAAAATAACAATATATGTATAAATAATATATGAATATATTAAAAAGAAAGAGAGAAAGGGGGAAAAATAATAGTCTTGCTTTCTATTAATATCATTATGACAATTGCAATTATCTATTTCTATTGACAAGGCATATATATTTATATAACTTTTGATTTTCCTATTTTCTTTCATATATATGAAAGAATATGAAACTACTCTTTTATTACAGCTTTAATCAATAGGATTTATTTTTTAATTTCATATATTTTCTGACCGATCATATTTCCATGTGGACCGTAATTGCAACATAGGTTTATTTTATTCCAGTTGCTTGAGTCCTTAAATTCTATTTTTCCACAACCAATTTTTGTTGATTTTGCCCAGATCAGTTGAGTATAGTGACCTGTCTTTGGCTCAAATCTATAAATAAATTATTTTATAGACGTTTTAAAAAATATTAACCTTCAGGAGTATTTTAATTAATATCATTATGGGCGTATCAAGGGGAGAGTAGAAGTTCAATCCCCTCCCTCCTCCCACCTCTCTCAAAATTTTTTATTTCATTTTGAGAGTAGCGCACAGGATAGCATCAAGATCCATTCACATCGGTCGGTGACTAATAATTTTTCATTGTTTTACTAATAAGAATATTTTATTTTGAATTGGTCAATTAGATATGTACAACTTTATCGAATTCCTCTCTTTCATTTTTATAAAAAACATACAATTTTATTTTTGACCTTGTGTGAGTTTTTTACTATTACGTACTTAAAATATTCTTTTCTTTTGAAGACCATAGAAGTAATTTTTAATACTTCTGTTAGTTCGAGTTTTGAAAAAATATGCGACACGTAGAGAAAATTTTCATAAGGTTTTTATTCCGTGAAAAACAAAATATATTCTATAATTGAAACATTCAGTATTACAATCGCTCACTGAGCACTCAGTGAGCTTTTGCACTGTTTGATCTATATTTTTGACCTATACACCTATCTGATCTATATTTTTGGATGTAACAGAATATACCAAATGCAAAAGCTCACTAAATACTGAATTGCTCAGAATGTAGTTGACCTAATGCATCCAAAGTATTCGACTAAATTCGACTAAAAAAATTCATTAACGTTAAAAATTGTTGTAACTGTCACAACAAAAATGGTATACAATGACGTTTTTTTCAGAACAATAGTAAAATCTCTCCCTTTTTTTATTCTCATCCCTAGGTTAATAAAATCTCTTTTCCCTTCCAAAAAAAATTTCAAATTTACGTGCTACTATTTTTTATATATAGATATCTTTACACGTATTAAAGTATTTATATATAGATATATCTTTACTTGATGCTGTCTAAAGAATTAATTTATATTTGTTAATATGTAAAATTTCTGTGTATAATTAGAAAATTCAATTTAGAAGGATACTTACTCATATTTTTCAATTTTACTATTATTAAAATCATTTACTTCATCGTACCATAATAAGATCATATTTTCTACAGTGGCTGTGTTCTTTCCTGTAGAGGATGACTGGGCCATGTTCTGACCAACTGTATATCTATCTGTAATAGCATACATTATTTGTTAACAGATAAATCAGTTTTTTTTGGAATTATTTAAATAAGAGAAAAAAATTTGATTTTTAGTCGAAATAAATGTCAGCGAGGTCCTTTGTAAATACATTTTTTATTTCTATAAACTGTTCGCTGATTTGAACTTGAGACACAATTATAAACTGAAACTGGAAATAATATTACAAATTACATTGATCGCCAATTTAATAATGGTAATAAAAATTTTAAAATACTGCAAACTTCATTCTCATTTTTTGTGCAAACGATCTTCTTTTTCTTATTAATTTATTTTTTTATCGATCTAAATTTTTTTTACTATTGAACTATATATTTTAGTATACACACTTTACTAAATATTAACTATATATTTTATTATCATGTGAACATAATAATACATTTTTACTATTCTATACATAATTTACATTAAATCGATACTTACCTACATTTCTGCACTTGTCATGACCGGTTATGCATTGATTAACCCATTTTTGTGCAATCTTCTCTAATTCTTCATCCCAAGCCTAAAAAATTATACATATATGCGCAAGTATTGACATAATATTTTATGTGTCGTGCGCGCGCGTGTGTGTGTGTGTGTGTGTTAGATATATAAATTATGCACACATGTACTTATACACAAGGACCAGAAAGTTCAATGTCTGTTATCTAAAAGTTATCCAAAAATCTATTCACATAATTTTATATACCTATTATATTATGTATACAAATTTTAATTTAAAATAAAAATATTTTATTCAAATATGTATCTTTCCTGTATTGCATAGTACATTAAATTACAGATAACATTTCACTTTTCAAATTTCTTTGTGAGAATTATAAATTAAGAAAATCTATAATGCACTTATACATTTCTCTTTATAGATAGAGGGAAGGTCCTTATTATGAGATACTGAGTTTATTTTGGGTAAATGTTAAAAGTCTATGGGCAGATTTTATAAAGTACTTATTAAAATTAGCGTCAAAAGACATAAAACACGAAAAAAAATCAAAACTTTTTGTTTATAATATCTTACGCAGTCTGTAATATAATTTACTGTTAACATAGGCATGATTTCTGTTGGTCCATGTAATGAAATAAATAACTGGATACTTTGTATACACATATTCTCAACATTATCACATGATTTTTTAAGAGACTACCAAATTCCATTACCTATTCATTTTCTTAAAATTCAAAGTACCTTAAGATTATATCTTAAAAATTCTGTATTGTTATTAGACGGTTAATCACAATTTTATTTCTTTTTAAAGAATTTAAATAATAATTTAATTGTGTAAAGTAAGTTAGACAGAATATTTGTTTAATATTTTTTCGTCTATTTTTTTATTTAATGTATAATACATGTATTACGTCTTACCATGGTTGACATGCTAGCCGCCTTTGGTTGCGGACCTGGTTTTCCTCTATTTTCTTTACCCGATGCAACTTTCTGTCTCAGTTCATTGTGCTTATTTACTATAGCTGTTTTCTCAGCATCAGTAAGCCCAACACTTGTTACTTGTCCGCATTCTTTTGCTGGTTTTGACTACAACATTGTGATTTTGTTTGAAATTAGCTAACAAATATATTCTTAATATATGCAGATATAAATTAAATTCTCTCTTATTAAGGAATTTTACATTGTAAAAAATGAAACGTTAATCTTATCTTAAAGACGTATAGTAAATTTTCTGAGACATTTTTGTGTCAATTTTAACATTTTTGATGTCTCAAAAAGTCTACTAAACGTCTTAAAATTAAAACGTCTTAAATTTAAGATTAACATTTTATTTTTTACAGTATAACAATAAAACTTTTGAAGACGAAAAATGAATGTTTTAATTTAGATAAAATAAATCAGTTTTTATAATCTATTATATACTTTTAATAAGTTGAGAAAAACATAAAACTTTTCTTACTTATATACAGAGCCTAAAACTACAAAGTTTCATCAAAATTAATAATTCGAACGGTTTTCGAAATTTAAAAAAAAAACAATTTTTTCTAACTTTGATATTCTTTTAAACTAAGCCGTTTCATATGAGTGCGTGCCTGTGTGTGTGCGTGCGTGCGCGCGCGCGCGCGCGCGCGTGTGTGTGTGTGTGTAGTTATATGAAGTTTTTATCTTCAATTTGTGTGATGAATCATCGCTTAAAATCTTTTAACGTACTTAGCGTATACTCCTTGTATATCGAAAAGGATTTAATGATGAACGGTCTTTAATTTATCTACGGATTTAATTTATCTATCAGAACGTACGGATACGATAGTTTAATATAATTGTAATGCATTATTATATATGTAATATACATTTTGTATATCGGTGCATATCGAAATAAAAAATAGCAAAAAACATAATTTAGTTACACAAAAAACAAATTTGCCGGTCTAACCGGGTCACTGGTGACATATGCTAGATATTTACCTGTCGCTGTACGAAATATGACTGATAAAGTAAGGTATCACTTAGCCGATAAGTTGTCAGTACTAACAACTTTTTTTTAAGAGAGGAAATCTTCAGCTTATCATGTCCAATGAATAATTTAAAATTGAAAAAAAACTTGGGTTTTTAAATTCCATTATAGACCATGGAGGGTTAACACGAAAAGAAAATTACATTAAGTCTTTAAGATAATAATAATAATTTAATAATTTTATTGATATATGCATTAGTTTAAAAGAATGTGAATACAGCAGAAGAATGAAATACAGCGAGATACACATCTACAGTTGGAATCTAGACCTGAACCTAAAAATTAAAGACTAAATCTAATCAGAATAAGTTTGCGTTTTAAAGAATTAGTATATCAAATTAAAAAAAAGGAAATACAGAATAAACTAATCGAAAAAAACTATCATGATATATCGGACATAAAATTATAAAATTCAGAAAAAGGATAATTTAAGCAATCTCAATGATGTTCTATACCTATATGATTTTTAAATATTTATAAATATTCATTCAAAAAACGTACATTCTGTAGATGTTATTAATATTTAATAGAATATATTTATTTAATCATACCTTA